TGTTTACTAATACCTACTAAATCCGACCGAAATTAAATCACTTGTTATCTTTAAAAATATTGTATCGCTTTTAAGCCCTCTGCAATGCGGGCCCTGCCCCTTCCCACACTTTCACACACATAGGAACGTAAAAACGGGCAGGATAGCCAATGTTTCAAGAATGGTCCCCCCCCCCCCCAAGTCCCTGGTGGTTCGCCTGGAGATGGATTCAGGGGATCTAGTAGCACTGCTTCTTTTCTCTCCATCCTAATCCTCCCATCACCCATTCTTACCCCCAACGCCCACGCTTCTGTCAGACAAAGACACAGTCTTCAGCTCAGAAACCCTCTTCGAGGCGGTGTTTCGTACATGTAAAACGCTTCATTGCTCTTTGCTCTTTCTCCAGGATTCCAGCAGCAATCAACTGCCTGCTAGGAAAGCAGCTCTGAGGACTTTGGGATAATATGGCTCATGGCTATTAATTATTCTCCATTAAAAACATCGATAAATCATTGGCTCCTATAGGACTCGCCGATCAGAAATGTGAGGCTACATGAACATTATTCGATAGCAGGTGGGGAGGGGGAGTTAAATTAACTGGCTGGGTTTAGGGGCATCTGAATGGCTAGGAATGAACTGGCTCGGGGAGGATGCATAGGCTGCATTGTATTTAGTACCGTTTGTCGGGATTAAAGGGATACCGAATGGTCCCAGAATGATTCGACCTCCGGTAGGTTGTGATCAGTTATACAGGTGTAAGTAATGCGGAGTGACTCCCCCGAGCTCAGTGGAGTTACTCCGGATTCAGACAAGATACTGCTGGTCTCTCTGCTGGTTTGGCTCCTTTAAGCGGCGAGCCAGGCTGAGCAGCAAGTCCCCCGGGCCCCTTAAGAGGAAGTCACTGGGGAGGGGGCCGGGGAAGGCGTGAGCGCGAGGGGGCTGAAGTTAGCCGCGTAGCAGCAGTTCGCGCAGTGTGTGGCTGGCACTGGGCAGCGGGCTGGGGAGGCGGCAGCGCTCTGCCCCACCAGCCCCGGCTCTGGGTCGCCGCCCGCCAGCAGCGTGGAGGAGAGGACCTGGGCCAGGGTCGCTCCAGTCTCCCAGGCGCCCGGGTGCCGGGTCCGCCTATCCCCAGCTCGCCCCTTCTCCAGGCACTAGGCAGCCCTGGGGCAGGAGCAGCCTCCCTTCAGCCGCGCCAGGCGCCCTGGGGCAGGCTCTCCCCGGCAGCGCGGGCCACTAGCGCTCCGGAGCAGGGTCCCCCGCAGCCCTCCACCGCGGACCGACCGCCCCCTGCTGCCAGGCGCCGAGAGAGAGAGGAGCCGGGCCTCGCCCTCCCCGCGGGCGCTGCAGGCAGAGGCTCAGGCGGCCGGTCCCAGCGGCAGGTACAGTACGAAGCCCTCGCCCCGCAGCTGCTGAGCCGGAGGAGAAGCCGCCGCGCGCCGCCTGGGCAGCGGCTGCAGGAGGTGCTGGGTCAGGGGCCCGATCCCCTTGGCGATCCCATTGGGTGCGATGGGAGGCGGATTTGGCCCAGCATCTGCAGCTGAGAAGTGCCCAGGGGAAGGAGCTGCAAGGGGAGCGCTTGCTTTTTAGCCCCAGGTCTGCAATAACCAAGCCGGTGTCAGCGCCCCGATGGCCGCTCAGAGCACCTGTGCCAGACAGCATGTCTGCCGCCGGGCACTGCCCGACCTGGGCTGCTCGCTTCGGGCTGCTCCAAAGGCACCCAGGCGGGGCTAGCTCCACACTGAATGAACCCATGTGCAGTTTAGGAGCCAGGCTGCTAGAGGGAAATCTCTGCTCCTTATTTATAATCGCTTTAATGGAATATAGTGTACATACTTTTTAGAGCAGATAGTATCCAATTAAGGACTTTTCCAAAGTGTGGCTAGGTAGTGATTCAATATCCCTTGAAATGGAAGTAAATATTATCGAACACCTCCCACGTTGTTGAATTATACTTAATGCAATGCCCTTTAAACAAATATTCTGGCATTCGTGTTTTACATTTTGATGAATAATTTACCTCTGACTTGCTTATAGAATATGAGAAATGCCCAACTGGAATGAGCACGTGTTTGCCATCTCTAACTCTGTGATTCTTTGAAATTAATCCTTTTATTTTTAACAATGATACTTTGGCAGTACTCCACTGAGGATCATTGAGAATCTATGCTTAATAAAATTAGTATTTTGTCTAAGTAACTAATAATATACTTTAGTTGATTGCTGGAGGACAAATATATATTGTATTAGTTGGCACAATCCAAAATGCCTCCCTCTAGAAAAATAGAGAAAAGCATGTTACATATCTAAAGTTGTAAGGTCTTCAGTGTTTGGTTGTTTATCTAGATGTTTGTTAGTTACTCTATGTGCTCAGTAGCATATACTTTAATAATATGTTAGGCTTGCTTTACTGATCAGTGAGGTACTACCTTACAGTATATCACACTCCTTTGAATTTGTAGGTATAATCCTATTTTTAACTAATAGATTATTTGCCTACTGTGGGAAGCCATATTGTTGTTTTTCCAGAAGAATTTTATAATATTTATTATCCTTTATCAATAATGGCCACTTTAAGAGAGAAAAGTAATCTTTTCATCATTAACATATGATAAAGCACTTGTCTGGAGTTTTGAAGTGCTCTTAGTCTTTTTTTCAGAGCTCAAAGGTTCTTAAACTGAAGTTTACTGTTGAATGTACGAATTATAAAATAATTGGAACAGTTGCAGTGGTAGCTCTACCTCTTTAATCTGTGTTTTGTAAATGCACAGCCTTAACTCTCCTTTGTTGCATATAGGCATTATGACACAATCTGTAATTACATGACATTTTTTATCCAATATAATATATTTCAGTGTTTCTAGGAACTTAGATAGCCAATGATTAAGTAATTATGAATTATTATAATACCTAGATGCAACAAGGCAGCATTAAAGTTATATGTTCAACTTTTGTATTTCTTAGCTTCTGGGTGCTTAACTATACAGGGTTAACATTGTGTTTGCAGTGTTGTTCCCAGGATATTAGAGAGACAAGGTGGGTAATATCTTTTACTAGACCAACTTCTGTTGGTGAAAGAGACAAGCTTACACAGAGTTCTTCCATCCCCCAAAATTATGATTTATGGATTTTTTGCTTTTTGCATTTTAAACCAATCACAGCCTTAAAGTGGAATAATGAACATAATCTACTTCAGATATGTTAAACCAATATAAAGTTAGATCACTTTATATCTTAAACTGAGCTCAGACTGGACAGTGGTTTAAGCTCTTTGTGCCATTTTAAGGCTTTAGATTAGTTTAAATGGTTAAAAAAAAACAACCCTCCCCCGCAAAACTCTTCCTAAAAACATAACTTGGGGGAGAAACAATTTGACTAAAGTGCTCATCAGAGGAAGATGAAAATTAAGTTACATCAGTTGGACATAGGTGAACGTGGTTCAGGAAGATGTCATGAAGATCTTCCTGGTTCATGATGCATTTTCCTACTTTAAAGTACATTTATTTACATGCTGAATGGTGACTATAAAGCAAAGTTGATAGGAAACCAATGAGACGCAAGGAGTATGGAACCCCAAGATACTGTTTTTACAGTCACTGTTCAGGTTAGAACCTCACTTTAAATATGATGAAGGGAAACATTTTAAAAATCACCTTAGTGATTTAGGAGCCTAAGTCCCATTTTTAAAAGTGATTGGCACCTAAGTCTTATTGAAAGTCTCATTGGATGTCATTGACAAGAATAGGGCCAGAGAGGGTAAACAGTAGAATCCCAGCAGTAGAAGTTGCTGCTAATACCAAGCAGCAAGAGAGAAGCCTCAGTAAGAGCAAAAGTCCAAATAATATCAGTGGCATGTTATTGTGTGATTGTGGGCTGAAAACCAGCAGTATGGTGGGGAAGCATTTACAGCTTCATTCAGCTAATAGCACTCAAGATGAAGACACACTGTGTAAGTGTTGTGAGTCAGGGTAGAACCCACAGAAACTGGCAACTACCTCTTTACTGAATCATCTCCATAACAATCCCCCACCCATTCCTTGCATGACCAGCATGCAGCAAAACAAACAGCTTTTGCAGTCCAAGCTTCGTAAGATACCCACCAGTTCCAATATATGTGCTGAATCATTATCTCTGGGAGAGGCAAGCAGTGCTAGTGCATGCAAGTTGACTCTGGGTATATATTTACTACAAGCGCTACAGTGTCAAAGAAAGCTGAAGCATAGAAACTTAGTACAGTGGCAGAAGGGTTTTTTCTGCCCTGTCATAAAACCACCCCCTCAAGAGGTGATAGGTCGATGGAAGAATTCTTCTGTTGACCTAGCTGCATCTACAGTGGGGGTTAGGTTGACCTAACTACATCACACAGGTTGTGAAATTTTTCACAGCCCTGAGTGATATAGCTAGGTTGATCTAATTTTAAGGTATAGACCAGCCCAAATGTCTCCCTCTTTCCACTCTGTTATTCTACTCTCCCAAAGCTGGCAGTGATACTTCTGTCTTCATCCTTAAGTAGGAGTACCACTGTGATGGGTTGCCCCCCTTTAAGTTGCCACCTGGTGTACTCGGTGTGCCACTGAGCCCTCCTGTTCTGCCAGCCTGGGCCCCCTTTACCTTGTCTTGCTGAGCCAGGCTCTTAAGCCTCCTCTAGCACACACAGGCAGGGCCACACCCAGCTGCAGAAAGACACAGACACTGAGATCAGCTCAAGGGACTTGCCCCAGCACGCAGGTGTCCACCTCCCTTGGAGTGCAGACCCAAAGGTATACTGTCTTGTGCTGTATAGAAAACTCTGCACTGCGCAAGCTCATAAAAATTCATCCTCTCCATCAATGTGAAAAGAGATATGCACAGTTTCTTGCCCACCCCTAGATATGAATTGCACAAACTGGGTTATGTTATAAACAAGAAATAAGTTTACTGACTCCAAAAAACAGATTTTAAGTGATTATAAGGGATAGCAAACAGAACAAAGCAGATTACTAAGTAAATAAAACAAAACACACAAAGTAAGCTTGATTCACTAAAGAAACAGGTTACAAAATGTAATTTCTCACCCTAAATGTTGGATTAGGCAGGGTGCAGAGTTTCTGTAGCTCAGAGTTATGGATATTTGTTCTTACAGACTGGTCTCCTGTCTCAGTCTGGACTCATCCTTGCCTTTCCCTTCAGGTTAGTTCCTTTGTCCCTTCAGATTCTTTCAGCAGTCCTTCTTCTTGGTTAGGAAATGGAGGAGAGTCTAGATCAACCCTCTTCCCAGCCCTTAAAAGGGATTTACCTAAGGCAGGAATCCTTTGTTTGATCCCCATCCCCCTACAGAGGAAAAGTACCAGCAGTATCCAATGGGGTATTTTTCATCAGGTGACATTATCATCTGACCTTGTAGTGTTAATGCAGCATCTTCAAAGTTCTATTGTTCTTCTTAAGTGGGTCATTCAGGAGGATTGCCTACTGTCTAGTGGGCATTCCCCCCAAGTACAAACACAGTTGTAATTGTTACATAGTCAATACCCCTAACTTTAGATACAGAAATGATACACATACAAATTAGATAATCACATTCAGTAAATCATAACCTTTCAAATGATATCTTACATAAGCCATCTTGCTTATATCTTAATTATGCCATAGTCATATCATAACCATATTTCTATGAAGAATATGTGATGTAATGGCACAACCACATCACTTCAATTCTGTTCATGACCTCTCTCAGAAAGAAAAAAGGCAACGACAACCCATAAGTGAGAGCAACAACATTAGTGTTTATAACTAATCCAAATATGCAGACCTTTGGGGGCAAAACTAAATATATTTCCACTGACACAAGAGTACTTAGCTGAAATGAAGGCTATACTGGGTTTGGTTCCATAGTCTATCGATTTTGGAGATAGGTAGGTCTCCCCAACCCCCAATACATGAGATTTCCTTGTGGTCCACCTTTTCTATAAGAGTGCTGCCTTGTATTTATCAAAGGGTCTGAAGGGGAGATTCCAGACTTCTAAGGCAGGTTTATATCTGGACCAGTACCATTTCAGTGCACACCTAGCTGTCTTTGACAGCCCACTACTGTAGCCACAGCACAAAGCATCAGTGGACATTCCTACTGCTCTGTGCAACAACCAACCATCTATGGGTACTTAGGTAGATCTTGAACATTTACTGCAATGTCTTGATACAGGCTATGAGCTTACACTGGAATGACATATTGTGCACATTACGCTGATTGGACAGAAGCAGGCTGTACACCTCATGTCCATCGGGCAGGACACAAGGGGAAGCACTAGAACACCATAAGTGGTTCTTGTGGAAGTCACTAGTCATAGTAAAAGAACCCTTCAAACATGGCATGCTTGATCTTAATGACAGCAAGCATCATTGAGTGGCTCATATACACTAGACTTCAATCTCTCATTTGCTAGAGCAGGCAAGGAAGGATCCAGAGGAGGTTTCTGGGGATGATGCTGTCCCTGTCACTGCCTTGAGGACATACCTGAAAACTGTGTACAATAATCTATAACAGAACAAACTGCATTGTTGCAATGGTGCTGGAATTTCACTGATCCCATTTTAGTAAAAGGGAGATTTGCTAGTATTAACCCAGAATTCTCTATTTCACCTCTACTGACAAAACTCTGTGTAACTTCAATTGAAGTTTTGAATCAGTGGAATCTGCAGGACTTGGCCTATCTATTGTTAACATATATTAAATACTATTTTCCAGATTAAGGAGATTAACTTGAGTATGGCAGCTATACAATTCAGAAATTGCCACACGGGGAACTGAATTCTGTGGAACAGTGAGTAGCCATAATGTGACACTTTCTGAAAGATTCTTTTTCTGGTGAAATTCCCTATTATGAAAATAGCGAATATAGCTGGAACAAAACATTACGCATTTTTAAGCACTCCAGTGCAGTTTGTCATCATGTAACAGAAATAGATACCTTAATAATATAGTATATGGGTGGGTACAATTATTGCACAGAGCCAAATTATGAACTCCTTATTCACAATGGTGAGCAGTTATTCAAATGACTAGTCCCATTGACTCTAAAGGGACTACTTTGATAAATAGCTGCTCACTCATGAGTAAAGGGTCCACAATCTGGCCAACAGCAAACTATTGTTAATTGCTTACTTCATCTGCACCACGCTTTAAATTGTAAGTGCAAAATATGAGAATCCAAGGGTTTGGGCCTAGATAGGCTGCATAACACATGCTAAGAACTGTGCAAATTAATTGGTGAGGGTTTATAGTACTACTTTGCCCTAAATCCTGCATAATGATATTACTGCACTTTTAAATGTAATGAAGCAATAAAGAAAATGGTTGTTTCTCTAAATTCTGATTAACACCAATGTCATCTTTTCTGCAATTGCTAATTAACATCTTTCTGATTCTAAGCAGGACTGTAATATGGATTTAGAACTCAAAGACTATAACACAACGCTTACTAAGGAGAACAGCTCTGCTACTATCAAGAGTTCTAATTTTTCTGCCTGGGAAGACTATAAGAGCAGCATAGATGACTTACAGTACTTTCTGATTGGCCTGTACACATTTATAAGTCTTGCTGGCTTCATGGGAAATCTACTTATACTGATGGCTCTAATAAAACGCAAGCAGAACACAATAATAAACATTCTCATTGGAAACCTAGCCTTTTCTGACATTTTAGTTGTGCTGTTTTGTTCGCCTTTTACATTAACATCTGTCCTGCTCGATCAGTGGATGTTTGGAGCAATCATGTGCCATGTTATGCCCTTCCTCCAATGCGTGTCAGTTCTGGTTTCAACTTTAATGTTAATCTCTATTGCTGTTGTCAGATACCGCATGATAAAAAATCCCCTTTCTAGTAATTTAACAGCAAAACATGGCTATTTCTTAATAGCAACTATCTGGCTTCTTGGTTGTACAATTTGCTCCCCTCTGCCAGTTTTCCACAAAATTGTAGATCTCCATGAAACCCTTAATTTAGAAACACTGAACAGCGGGCATATGTGTATTGAATCATGGCCATCTGATTCATATAGAATTGCCTTTACTATTTCCTTATTACTCATGCAGTATATATTGCCCTTGGTTTGTTTAACTGTAAGTCATACCAGCGTCTGCAGGAGTGTAAATTCCAGATTGTCAAACAAAGAAAACAAATGTGAAGAAAATGAGATGATAAACCTAACACTTCATCCACCCAAGAGTTGCAGATCTCAGGTGCAACTCTCCAGCAATTCTAGATGGAGCTATACGTTTGTCAGACAACACAGAAAAAGGTATAGCAAAAAGACTGCTAGGGTGATGCCAGCTATTTTACGGAGTCATCAGGATAATAATTCTGGAGAACTCCCAGAAACCTCTGGTACAGAAAGAAGCCAGCTCTCTTCATCCAGTAAGTTCATACCAGGGGTACCAATCTGCTTTGAGATGAAACCAGAAGAAAATTCAGAGATGCAAGACATGATTAGAGTATCCCGATCCATCACTCGAATTAAGACAAGATCTCGGAGGGTTTTCTGCAGATTGACAGTATTGATCTTAGTTTTTGCTGTCAGTTGGATGCCTCTTCACCTTTTCCATGTTGTCACTGATTTTAATGCCAATCTTATTTCTAATAGGCATTTTAAATTAGTATATTGCATATGTCACTTACTGGGTATGATGTCCTGCTGCCTGAATCCCATCTTATATGGGTTCCTTAACAATGGCATAAAAGCTGATTTGATGTCTCTTATTCCATGCTACCAAATATCATGATTTTAAAAGCTCTACAATAAAATATAAAACAAACAATGTTATGCCTATAAGCATACTGAAGTATAAAATATCTTTTATTCAGTTTTAGGTGTGAATCAGTTGTTAGCAATGATTAGCAGCTTTAGGTGTGAATGGTTAGTTCTAGGTCTGAATGGTTTGTATATGCCTCTTATGTACAGCAGAAATATACAGATACATTGTAATATTAGTCTTTTTATCTGTTGTATGGAGGAAATCATGTGTAGTGTACAAAACCATATTATCATTTTAATAGTTCAATCAAATGTTTCAACTGTACCTTGCAAATATCTGAACTCTACATTCACAATTCATGTACAAAATGAGTTCAATCATCTCAGTATCAGTTACCATAAGGCTATAATTTGCAAATTATTATTATTGCTAAATAATGTTTAAAATGGATCAGACTATTTTGACCACTTTTTAAAATAAATTTTTTGTTGCTTGATGTGAGTAGAACAAATTTATATTTTTTTATCTTGATACATCCAGTCCAGCCAATATCTCTCTATCACATTTGCTAGACATCAACAGATCATTTGTTGCTTCTTTAAAGACTGTCTTCTTCACTTGGATGACTATGTGGATAATCACTATATTCCAGATTGTTCTCATACTTCTGGATTTAATTAGCATCATCTACCCCTTTTTTCTGGTAATTTTACTGTGTCCTATCATTTCATATGATTTTCAACTTGACCTGAACATAGATAGAATGCCTCTGTCCTTATTTTCATGACTTTCCTCCAAGAACAGTATGTTTTGAGTCAGAATGAACTCTATCTACTGATCCCTGGGAGAGCAAGTGACAAGAAATAAGAAGAAATAGAAAGATAAACATTTGTTCCTCATGAAAGCAAATGATAGTCTGTTGTTTTGGAGAGTTGTGGTACCTTTCAGATACAAATATTGGTTGAGTCTGCATCCAAGCAGCAGACACTAGGGCCCTGGTTCAGCCAGATGGTGGAGTCAGTGGAACTACTCCTGTGCTTAAAGTGAAGAATGTACGTAAGTATCTTACTGACTCTAGAACTAGATTTTAAGAGCCCACTGTGGCTCTTTGTTATCCCCAGTATCTCTGTGAACAAGTCAGTACCTGCATCTGTTTTAAGTACAAGTGGCTAGGTTCTGCCACCCCTTACACTGAGAAATACACTACTCCACAATTAACTCCATTGGAATGAATTAAACTGCATTTGGAGTAAGGTATGACTCAAAGTGAGCAAGGGTGGCAGAATCTGGCTCAATGTATTTCTTTTACTAAAAAGTACACTACGCTCCCCACTCCCCTATCTACTTTATTGCTTTTTACTCCTCACCCCTCCATTTTCCCTCTCCCTTTACGCACTTCCCTCTCTCTTCATGTTTATTAAATAAAAACTCCAAAACAAAACCAGAAATTACAGTCACGACCGGGACAAATCACAGACACAAAAATAAACCATTCAACCTTCCTCACTCCAGACTCTTTGTCCTAAGAACTAAAAGGTCACTTTGATCTCATAGGCTGCCCACATCCAATGACAATTGCCATTTTGTTGAACTTATCTATTTTCTCCTCAGCCATTGCTCACAATTGAATGACTGCATAAATAGTGTGAGCTACAGTATCAGGTAAGTCATTCTGTGCCTGCAAATGGGCTCTGCCAAGGTAGTATAAAACTACGGCATTAGTAACTGTCAGAGGCTCAAAGAAAATACCTGGCAAATGTCTGCCCTTCCTTATTGAGGTATGTGCCAAATCTTCTGGTGTCTGAAAAAATCCGAAAGTCAATTGTCCATAAGTCTCTCTTATACTCCAACAGTTGCTTTATCTTCCCAATTTAAATTGCAAGTGTCTTCCCCAAAGAAATCTGACCCCCTCCCATGCTATATTTTTATAATATAAATGAACTAAATATATATCATTCCTTGCTTCTGGCTGCTTTAACTCAGCACAGGGGAACTGGCTTTGCAGAGAGGCTGCAGCAACAGATGGGGGTACAAAGGTGAGCTTTAAGCCACTTTTGTACACACAACCTTAATCTGCGTTCCACGCAGGTCAGCTTCACCCTAGGAGCTGCCCATTAATTCCTTTCTCTTTAGCCCATTTTCTCCTCCAGTTCACATTTTCAATCTGGTGGCATTTAAAGGGCATTTTTTGGTGAACAGGGAGAACAAAAGCAAAACTAAACACAGATAATTTTACATGCAATGGTAGGTATACTATTAGAAGTATACTTTGGCACTGTATCATCATTGATGTGTTTTGTTAAGTTTGCAGCATACAGAGAAGTCAGATGACATAAATAATCTTGCTGGAAGATTGCAACATAACACTACTTTATTTCTTAGAATTCCGAATGATAACGCACAAGAACCCAAAATCAGAGAGAGAAAAAGCAGGCTGCTCCCTAAGGGTGTCTCCCCACTGCAGCTGGGAGATGGGATTACAGCACGTGTAGAGATACTCAAACTAGCTTTGCTCTGGCTATATCAAAGCTAGCTTGAATAACTATCTAAATTAGAAATTGGTCAAAATACCAGAGTGAACATCTCTAGACTTGTTCTTAAAGACACCATGACAATTTTAACAAGTGAGCAGAACTTTTATTATATGTCTTCTTCAGAGATAGAATTAAGATTTAGGAATCTACTTTCTTACTGATTCTCACTAATACTAATGGGGATTTACTTGCTTACTAATCTGGGAGACGTTTAACCCAGTGCTGAAGAACCAACACAAAACCTGTATCCCACTGAAGCTCTATTTTGAAGGAATAAGTGGCACTTAAGCCTTTTTCTGGCCCTCTGCACACTTGTTAATTTCACCCATAATGCACTGGGGAGACAATAAGCCCCTTCTGATCAAATTTCATGCACAAACAAGGTTCAATAGATATTGATTTAGTAGACTCAATCATCTCTAACGTTACACTGAGAACTATTCATATAGGGACCAAACCTGCAACATGCAGAGGTCCATTTGTGGGGTGCTGAGCCCCTGCAAATTCCATTAAAGCTAATGAGTCTTGAGGACATATAACACCTTGCAAGAGAGTGGACTGAGCCCATAGTTCAATAGATGACTCACCCACTAACATTTGAGGCCCTGGAAAGAGCCAGTGCCATAGATGTTCTGCTGCATAGAGGAGATGGCTTGTAGAGAATAATGCAGGAGAACTAAACATTTCTTACTTGCCACAGAGCGAAGCTCCCTGTGAGCTCCACAGAGACAGGTAAGCTGTGGAGAGAAAGTAGCATGGCTATCAGCTGCTCCATGGTTACACTAATCCAGTGGCTGCAAATGCTAACAAGGGCATACAAGGATCTGTGCTGCTATTCCAGCCTTCTGCATAGTTCCTCACTCAAAGCTTATTTATTGAATGAGGGGAGTCTCTGCATAACTGAACAATTCAAATGCTTTGAATTTTTTTTGAAATTGGTTTTTGAAAGCACTTTTGTATGCTTTCAAATGAAGGTGATATATACTTATGAAGATGTTCCTAGACTCAGCACCTTTCTATATCAAGTTTTGTGTTTTCACGCTTAAATAGTGCACAGAGAAATAATATTTGCTTACTGAATATCAACAGACCTTGACAGCTCTAGCTAACATCAGTGCGAAGGCAGCTTCAAGCCAATTAAACATATTCATGCTAAGGATATCGCACTGTTGGATCACAGTGGTTAACATTTTAAACTGTCTTAAGAGTTTTCAAATGATTGCGCAGTGCACACTTTGACATGCCCTGCCATTTAGATTCTGAAATAGATAGGAAGTGTGGAATGGCAAAGAATTCATATGGACAAAGACTGATTTTCATATAACATTCATGTTCAACGTGCTTTACAAACATTATCTAAATTCTTACAATACCCCTGTGCGGTAATGGAGTATGAGTTCTTGCTTTAGAGATGTGGGGAAATGAGTCGAAGGGAAAGAGGCTTGTCCATATCTACAAAGGGAATCAGCGTCTAAAGTAGGATTAGAATTTGGGAATTCCTAACTTCCAGCATAAACTCAAACAACCAGAACATTTTGTACATTATGGGTGGGATTTTAAAGAGTGCTTAGTGTTGGTTTAACTGTGCTCTCACTGAAGTCAACTCATAACATCTTGGTCCCATCAGAGTCAACTGCAAGACTCCCATTGACTTAAATCAATATGGGGCCATATTCTATATGCTGTGCCTATATATTCATATGTATATTCATAATGTAATGGAAAAATAGTGGGTGGGATTTTTAGAAATGCATAGGCTTAACTCAGCTCCCATTCAAGTCAATGGACCATGAGGTTGCAGGCGGACTTAGATGTCCCCTCCAGGGGGTGCCAGAGAACTGTACACATTGTCACATGCACCTGGATGAGAGCTGAGGGAGGGCTCTTCCCACTGACCCCTCCACATTGCTGAAGGGGTAGTTTGGTGCTGTTTATCTCTAGTTGGTAATATAACGTGCCCCACTCTTCTATCGGTGTTATGATGGGGTTGCTGCTTCTTCTCCCCTACCGCTGGCCCCACCAGTTGCTATGTGAACCAAAAAGCATCTTCAGTCTGATGGGCTCTATTTCCTCTTCCTTGGCTGTTACAGAGCTGGCAGCCAAGCTTTATCAGAACTTCTCATATGTGGGAATAAAGCCACATGCCCTTAAAAAGATCAAACTGTTTTTTTTTAAATCAACAGCCCATCTGCTTAGCAACACAAGTTTTCCACAGTATTGGGTCCCTGATGAATACAGAATCCAGTTCTAGGTCTCTGTTCTAACATTCAGAGCTTTCCATAGGACTGACCCTAGCTACACTGGCTCTCCCTCGAGGACCACAGCCTCTTGTGACAGCTATGCTCTGCAAAAAGGCTTACGCTTCATCCATGCTCCCAACTGGGCTGAAGACAAGTGGTGTGCAACACTTACATCTGACAGCTGCAAGCAAGCAACCTCTAGCCAGTCTGTCAGAAAATGTTATTCAGCTGAGCTGAGAAAGCCACTGGCTAACCTTTCCAACCACAAACCATCTTCCTGAAGCCAAATGAAGCCACAAGAGTCATGACAACCACCTGCATAAGTAATATAATTTTCAGTTTTATATTTTCAGTTTTGTTGTTCAAATTTTTATTAGTAGACGGATGCCTCTACCTCAGCATTCTTACACTTGCTTTTATTTTAACTCTAGCAGATGGCTGGTGGTGAGTGTAGGAGTTTGTGGATAGAACCCACAGAATTTATTTGAGAACACTGCTTGTTGAATAGTTCCTCAAATAGCCAAAACTGTCCTAGAATAAACAACCTCACTGTCCAAAAGATCACACATGAATATATCTTGTGTTAAGTGTGTTTAATCATGATAAGCTGTTTTCATCTAAAATTTTCATTTGAAATTTAAATGCAACAAATTGTGTCACCTTGACTTGGACTGGAAATGTAGAATCGTATGACTGGAAGGGACCTCAAGA